TGTCACTGCTGGCATGGGCGGCTGCTGCCGCTTGCCTGTGGAGCTGCCTGTGCTAGCGGTGACAGCTGCTGCCTACGGAGCTGTGCTCCTGTTGCCACAGAGCCGTGCTTGGAGCTGTGTGGCCGGAGGCAGCGGCATGGCGCAAGGTGGTGGTGGGGGTGCAAGCCCCCCATTTCACCCCCCTGTTTAACCCCCCGGCCGGGCAGCACATATGTGGCCTGCACACGGTGGTTGCCACTACACTGCTGCTGCCATGCCCTGCGCCACTTGCCCACAAAGCCATTCAGGTGGCCATGGGATGGTAGCGCAAAGTGCAGTGGCAGAGTTGTGGTGGTGGCCTTCGTGTGTGAACCTCCTGTCAGGCTGGCCAGCATGTGTGTGGCCCACAGAGTGGCACCCCTGCAGTCACCCCCCAGCCCTGCTCCTGGAAGTGGGTACAGGGCCACACTCCCACCTCCCCACCCCTTCTTGATCTACTCCCCCAGCACCTTCCCTTTCTTCTGCCCTGCCCTTCCCCGCCCTTCCCTCCCCCCCCCCACTTACCTGCTGGGGTGGGTGTCAGTGTCTGTGTCTGCATGTCTGGGGGGCTGTTGCGGGGGGCATCAGGAGGGCTGTTGAGGCTTTGGGGGAGAGTGTGGGGCACCAGCAGCCCTGGGAGGGGCTGTGGGGGGCCTTTAATTTTTATCATGGATTTCGGGTTTTAAATCCTAGAATTTGCAGTTTTTAATTGGAGAAAACCGGGATCCCTGCTCATGACTTATGGGGCATAAGAACACCCATTATTGCTGAGGTTCAGCCTCCCCTTTTCACTTGGTTCCACAGCCTTAGATCTTTTGCTGTACCTGGATCTTCGGGTTGTGGCAGTGGCTAGGAATACCTTTTACCAGCTCCATCTGATGAGAAGACTGCGACCCTTTCTTTCAGATTCAGATCTGGCCATGATCATCCATGTGTTCATAACCTCAAGTCTAGACAGCTGCAATGTTCCCTGTGTGGGCCTACCTTTGTTGGCTAGCCAGAGCTGCAGCCTAGTGCAGAATGCAGTGGCCCCTTTCTGATGGGGCTGGGTGCTCCAGAGTCTGCATTGGCTTCCACTAGCTGTTGGGGTGCGATTCAAGGTGCTGATTTTGACCTCTGAGGTCCTAAACCAGTCTAGACCCTCTGTACCTAAGGGGCTGCTTTGCCCTTTATACTCCACCTTGATCCCTAAGGTCAGCTCAGAGCAGCCTTCTACAAGTACCACCTTTTGTGTCAAACTTGCTTGGCAAAAATGGATGATTGTTCTTGGTTGGAGTTCCTCTGCTTTGGAACTCCCTCCTCGTATAGATTGCCGAAGCCTGGGCATTTTCCAAAAGTTGTGCAAGACCTTTTTATTTGGGCAGACATTAACTGAGCAGGATTAAACTGGGGTATTGTTAAGGGAGTGTTTTTTATTTATATCTGGCTTTTATTGTATGCTGCCCTTCCCAAAAGGCTGAGGCTTGCTCACAAGTCTTATACATACATCAATAACAACAATTCTTCATCTTTTTTTAGCTTGCTACCAGAGAAGAGACACCTTATAAAGGTAAGTTGCTCTTCTTTCCCATTTCTGTGCATATGCTGTGTCTGTCTACATAGGCTTATTGTGGAGATGAACTTCTGTTTTGGTAGCAGTCAGGTCTGCTTCAGGGGTAAAGATGTCTGCTCAAGGAAACAAAGTCTGTGTAGCTGCAAATTCCCTTCTCCCTAGTGCTGTCCTGGCACGTGGGCTGATCTTTGCCCCCAAAATGCCTGGGTTTCACTTGTGCTTTATGTGTAAAGAAAGCCTTTTGGGATCTGTCATGGCAACCAGACATTACTGTTGTTGCTGAGGTTGCAGTGCCATGGTGTCTTAGCTGCAGTTAAATCCAATTTGCACTCCTTCCTAATTACTTTTCCTTTGTGAAGAAAAAAATGCTGTATCTCTTTACCTGATGGGCAGCATGTTCTATTATGAGCTGAGCTGTTTAACTCCCCTTCCCCTTCCAGCTCCTGTCCTGAAGCCATCTAAGCTAGCCATGTTCTGCTGTCTTTCATCGAACATGTTTCAGCAGGTCTCAGTGAAAGGTCTCCAGAACTTTAAAGACTGCAGAGCATGTGGTCTGTTATGTCTTGATACTGAAGTTATTCCAGCCCCGAAATGTGGACATAGTGGGTGCCCCCGTGAGTGGGAAAGTGTGTTTCCCTAGGGGCAGCTAGCAGTGTCACACATTTTTGCCACTGCTAGTTGTCCCCGGGCATGCCCCTGCCCATGCACTCTGGCGCACGATAGATTGCCTCGGCTGGCCCCAGCCACCTTACCTGGGTTCTTGGGGGGCCTCCCAGGGCTGCAGTAGTGACGATCCGGGCGCGTGGAGCCTGGCCAGCAGCCAGAGCATGGCTCTGGTAGGCCAGGCTCTGATTTTGGGCAGGAAATGCTGCAGCCATGTGTGCCACCCTGCTTTTTTTGGTATGATTTCTTTTTTTGGTGCAGATCTCTCTAATTAGCAGTGCAGTGAACACATGCATGTTTGGCACCACACATGGGTTTGCCGTGCTGCAGACTGCACATGCATGCTCCTGCAGCATTAATTTTAGGGCGCTGCTGCATGTTCATACTAAAGCTGGATAGAAACCAGCTCTAGAGTTGTTACACATTGTCAGGCACTAACTTTATAGCTGGTTGCCTCTCTTTATAGCTGAATAATCATTTTTCATCATGTGATAATTACTTCGCATATGTGGCCAGTCTAAATTTATTGCTCAGTTTACTAGTTAACTGAGTACAATATGTAACATGTAGCAGGGGCTTTAGTCTGATTTCTGTTCAGGAACTGACTGGCTTATTTTATAATAAAATCTGTCCTTTAGGTAGTAGAGAAATATAGCAATAGCTTCTGAGATTTTAATATTAGTTATTCAACAAGTAGTCTTCCATTGTTCAAAGTAAAATAATTGAAGAATGGAAATGGCAAAGGTATGGGTTGTTAGAATTCTTTGTTTTAATAATTGAAGGAGGTATATTTGACTGTAGGGGGGTGTAAAGTACCCTGTTGCTCAGTGCAGTTTATGGAAGATGTATAATTTGTTGCAAGTTCTGTCACCCTTGAAGCTGGAATAGGAACTAATTTATAGTTAGTGAAGCTTACACCTCTGAGCCCATTACACTTAGTGATTTTTTTCACTTATGATTAGGGTGGCATTGT